CCGTACATAGGGGATATTACTATGGCACCGCGAAGATACGAGATTTCTCTTCAAGTGCTGAAAAATTCAGACGTTTTCTTCTCCTCGACTTGTGACCAATTTTGAACCCGCTCTCTTTATTCATGTAAGATTCCTTTTTTTTTTTTTCTGGTAGGGATTCTCTGTGGAAGGGCAGGAGAACATACAAGAGATTCTCAGCAAACAGTTGTATCTATGCCAGTTCCTTTGGGCAATGTCCATCCTAAGACAAGGTAAGAAATCTTTGTGCCTTGTTCATTTGCATGACTGGTCAATTTTACCGAGAGTGGCTTACGTATTACAATGTAACAGCTCTGATTTTGTCATACTGTCTCTGATTTTTAGGGGGCCACTTTGTCTGCAAGTTGTTTGACGTGTTCACTCCATTCAGCATTGGTCTTATTTATCTGATGTACAGAGCGTTTGATGAAGTGTATGTCTTCAAACCTGTAACCAGCAGGCCAGCAAACTCTGAGAGGTATGTGTTGTAATAAACAACGAGCAATCCCTCCTTTTCGGCGAAGTTCATCGCGTGAGTGAAAAACAAATTTGATGCAAGCGCGCCACGCAGACCTTCTTTCGTGCGCCTTATTCGTATATTTCTGCGCGGTGTGCAAACATTTTTTTTTTTTTTGCTAATTTCTTTGATTCGCGCGTCGGACTTCGCTAAAAAGGAGGGACTGCTTATAGTCTAGTGTTCAAAAAGTTGTAAAGTTTAAATGTTCCAATATTTGATTCTTGATTTTTATGGGAAATCCTTCACGATTTGTTCTCTTTTGGTAGAGCAATTATTTGCAATGTGTCTTGGAAGCGCATGAATTTTTTTCCTCTGAAATTTCCCAATCATTGATTTTGTTTGTGCTTTGCAGGCATTTCATGTAGATTGAGTTTGTTACTTTTGCTCGTAGCTGTCCTTGTTCTTAAGGGTCGTACTCCGAAGTGTTCTGGTTTTCTGACACAAATTCAATCTGGAAACAATGGACAAAGGGGGAAGTTATTCAATGAGACTCTAACTTCTTAGAACCTTCCTTAAAAAACTCTGCGACAATCAGTTGTGAAACTCTCAAACGAATTGGATCTTTTGAGCTGATTTAAATGGATAATTTGATATTTGCTTCATGTAGATATCTAGTGTGCAAAGGACTTCGTGGAAACAGTGAGGCTGTCCATGAGCACATGTTCAATGTGAATGTCAGGATCAACAAATTAAAGGCTGGAGCCGTGGAAGACGTCAATGAGGTTTGCTGCATGTACACTTTACCCTTACACTCCCAGAAGTGATTAACGTTTAACTTCTCCTTATAATATCCATACATTATCCAACAAACAAGTAATAAGAATACTCAAACTTATCAGGCAGAAGTTGTTATCCTGAGCTAACACCAAATTCTCATGACCATTTTACAAGGAAATGTCTAGCAGCTAGAGGGGAGAGTTAACAATCAGATCTTGGGAGTTAAAAGGTTAAATGTTATTTTTAAAAGAAGTATGTAGCTTTTACAAACGTGCGAGAGGTTATCAACTTTCTGTAGGAACAAAAAACACGAGAGTTACCGCGAGATAAGTCTTCCACAATTCTTCCAGCTTTTAATTTTGTAATCCGTCCCTCTACTCCCAGTTTCTTCTATGTGAATCCAAAAGAGATGGAGGCTAACTCGATAACCTGGCGGTTTTCTTTGCTTCCGTGCACGAACTATGGAACACTGTTGCCTTTAACTTTTTACATATGTATCCTTTCCTGTTTTTTTTTTTTTTTTATGTTAATGTTGTAACTAAAACTTGAGTGCTAAATAAAGTAAAGTTGAAAGTTGAAAGATATTTATGACACTGTATTTCCAAACAAGCACTCCTCTTGAGTAAGTGCCCTCGGCCCCTCTCCTCCCTTTTTAGTGCCATTTTATTTTAAACTTACATGCTTCAACTAGAGCGGAAATTAGTACAGGTTAAAAGTTTTTCCTCCTTCCATTAAGCATCTCTCCTTTCAGCCACAATTTGAAATAAGCGCCTGGGCGGTTATTCGGGGGAATACGGTATTTATATTGTGTTCCTGACTATTTCGGGAGACGATTTTTGATTGCGCGAGGCAGCTTCAAGTGACAGACGCACGTTGAAAGGAGAACAAATAAATTAGATATCACCTTTTACATCAGTTGTTAACACGCACAGTTAAAGAAAAAAGAAAATTTTTACTTTTTTTTTTCTCAAGCAAGTTGAGAGCAATTGGCTATGAATAAAAAAAACATTTTGGCAATGAGAAAAGCTATAAGTTTTTGCAGGTCGTCTAGTAGAGTATGGTCCACTAAACTCACCCAAGAAAGCCTTATCTAGTGGGAGATAAAACTATTTTAAGTGTTAACAACTCATGCTGAAAAAAGAAATGAACATCAAATGACGTTAGGGTGTTATTTGGTTTGTCAGATTGTCCCGTTGCATATTCTGAAGGAACATGAAGAGTTCTCGTCATATATGATTGAATCAAATGAAAGGTATTTGTAATTAGCTATCAACTTTGACATTTCAATGATAACATGAACGCAGCACTGTGACATTAACTGATTGGAAAACGAGACAATAGCTTCCAGTTCTACTCTCTAATTTGTTTCAGGATTGGGAGGATACAAGCTAACTCACTGAAGAAATTAAGAGCTTATGTACAGGACACGTAAGTTACGAACGTTTGATTTTATTGACCTCGTGATAGTACATATATCTCGTTAGACGTTCTGTTGTGTAGTATCGCTGAGTATTTTTACAAGTTGTGCCGTATTTTGACGAGCCCGTAGGGCGAGTCAAAATACAAATAACGAGTAAAAATACTCAGCGATACTACACAACAAAACGCCTAATAAGGCCCTGTTTACAAGCAGGTAGGGTTACTCTAGTGCTAGGGTTACCCTAGCGGGAGGGTTACCCTAACGCTGCCACATTTCTTCTTTTTTTCATCGACGTGTTTACAAGGCAGCTAGGGTTACCCTAGCACTAGGGTAACCCTAGCTGAGCGCTAGGGTTACCCTAGCGCCAGGGTAACCCTAGCTGCCTTGTAAACGCTCTGCTGGGGATAACTCGCCTACCCGGGACAACTTTTTACTTGTTTCCAGACCCTTTGAACATTGATAACAATGCGTGCGGTTACCAAGCATAGNACTACAATCCAATTCTTCGCTTGCGTGTTGCGAGAAAACCTGTTTAACCGGTACTTTACAATAGACGTGTACAAATACCGCGTGATATTTGTACTCGTCTATGGCGTTATTTGTACTCGTCTGAGTGTAGTTGGATAATAATGGACGTTATTAAGTCTTAGAAAAAGAAAAAAACTCACATATGAGCTACGAGTCCCTGTTGAGATTGCCTCCAGTAGCATAAAATTTAAATTTCCCTAACAAATCACAATTCACAAGTTTTTAAAAACAACCGACTTATTCCCACACTTGTGTACAAACTTGCAATTATCAGGGATATCCGCTTGATTTCACAGGGGGGTTACTTTGGGTTCTGCTGGACCCCCTCACCCCCCCACCCCTCTTATCCCCACTCCTCACTCCCTTACCCCCACCCCTCACCCTCCCATCAGACTTGTGGGTTTTTTCCTATTCTGGGTGAGTCCAAATTCTTGCACTACGATTGTGGGTAATCAATCGTTCCTTGTTTCATTAACTGATTTTAATTTGCTTTTTAGAACATTGATGGGTCCTTACGATCAAGGAGTTGTTAAGAAAAGGTGTTTAGAGCAGTGGAAGGTTAGGGAGCTTGTTTACTGCAGCAATCTTGCTTCAACTCCCTTGGTAACCCCGGAAAATGACTTCAAGTCTGCTCATGAAGCAGTCATTGTCCATCTGTATGGTTTTTTTTTTTTTTTGAAGATGCACTTCAAAGTGTCTTGTCAGATTCCTTGACCTTTTCTATAATGTACTCCATTTCAGTTCTCAAAATCTCATACTCTTGTACCCTTACAAAGTCACGGTGAAATGACTTTTAAAAACGTTTAGAAAATGTTTTGTTTTGTTTGCTCTATAAACAAAAAATTTCAAACTAAACTTAAACAAAGCAACAAAACTATAACCCTAACCCTGAGCGATCTCTTATCCCGATTCCCCCACCTCACATCCCGCATCCCGACTCCAGACTTGTTTCCCGTCTCTCCAGTCTCCCATCTCCCATACGGACCTCCCTCCCGGTAAATAACGTATAGGTTTTTCTATTTCAGATTCCAGAGCAGGCTCGCGCAGCTCAAAGGATGCCAGATCCTGATATTAAATTTGACGAGCTTTGGAAGGTATTTCAATTATTTTATCTTCGAGGATTTGTTGATTAATCTTGTTCAATTTTTTACACCATGCACTAAATTAGTTTTACATGAAGCAATGATTTTGATCTGTTCCTCCTTTTTCAGGGAATTGACGATGATCATTGCTTTGACTCTGAAGCTACATTGTTAACTTCCCGGAACATCCAAAACCTCAAATGTCTGTACAATTACAAGTGTTTCGTGTCTGGAGGGGGAAGGTTCTTTCTTATGGGCCTCGGGGTAAGTGTCACGTGCGGAATGTCACGCACTCAGTCGCCATCGACCTTTGTCACGTAAGGCGTGTCACTGGTAGTCAAATTGACTGTCTTTTTTTACAGTTTATTTGCAAAGGGGCCACTTAGTTATTTCCTCACCTATTCACTTAAAAATTTCCTTTTTTTTTGAAAATATTTATACATTATTACATTAGTAATTTAAGAAGGAAAATATCTTCCCTCCGATTTTTAACCATTGAAAAACGAGCCTAAGATATGACGTTTAAAGGATGATTTTTTAGGAGATCGCGATGAAACACGGTCGAGAGTATATAAGAAATCTGGTAGATATAAAAAGGCTTATGAAGAAGGAGGATTACTTCTTCAAAAGTGATCGAAATGTTCTTGTTCGCGACTTCAGCTAGTTATCCAGCAAACAGGAGATTAGAGCGGGGATTGTGATCATAACCTAACACTTAATTGTCTTGATTTATTTGCAAGGAAATTTATAGCAACTTGAAAGGAGAATTAGTATTCGGATCATGGTAGTAGCAGGGTTCATGTCCATTCTGACGACAGAAAAAACTCCAAACTACTTTTTGTTCTCAGTTTTTCTCATTATGACCAGAAATTCTCAAAGTTTCTGTGATCATTTTTCTCATACTAATGACTTTTGTTTGGTTTTAGCGAGGTAACATCTACAAATGGGATGGCAAACCAAACTTTAGTAGCTCAATCAGGTGGCACAAGTTGGAAAATTTTCAGCTCGAACTTCCTCGGGATAGTCTGATTGAGGTGGAAATAGTTCAGGAGCTTCGCGGAGAAGTAAGTTCTGGCAAAGAAATCTCATGAAAAATGTGCACATCGAGTAGGTTGTTTTAGTACTCATTATTTTTATTTTCGGGTCAATAATTATATCTTAGTAGACGTTTTGTTGTATAGTATCGCTTAGTATTTTTACGAGTTGTGCCGTATTTTGACGAGCAAAATACAAATAACGAGTAAATTTACTCGGCGACACTACACAACTAAACGTCCAATGAGAGATTTATTACCCAACACGCCAAATTGTTATTTCAGTGCGGGCGAATTTCGCGGATATTTCTGGAGTACAAATATCGCGTGATATTTGTACTCGTCTCGCGCGTTATTTGTACTCTGCGAAGCACAGTTGGATAATAAAGAGCAATATTTAATTGTTCTGTTGTGACACGAAGTCTACTTTGCTCAAGATAGGTATTGCGTGACAAGTTAGGGATTAGAGAGAGTGTGGGAAGGTACATTTTAACAGAGGCATTTGAGCATAGAATCAGATGTGGCTGTTTTTATCTCTTGTTTTTAGGGCAAAGGACAGAGAAGATCTGCAGCAGTTCATATTGTGGATGCTGTTATTCTTGGGGGCAAAGATGTACGAAGTAAACACTACCATGAGAGGTACACTGTGAATCCTGGTGCTGGAGAAAAACATTGAATTTTGGTCAAACTTTGCCTTTTGGTTTTTTGTGATTTATTCGTGAGTGAGAATTCACGCAAGCATGTGCGTTACTCGCATTACATGGCGTATTTTTTTTTAGGGTTGCTGGGTAATATGTAATGACGATTGGTGAGTTTGTTGATGTCCTATTGTTTGCATTGGTTTGTAGAATGGCTATGGCAGGCTTACTTATAAAAGCTGTCACCAAACCAACATGCCCAGCGATGGTTCCTCTGAGGTAAACATTTGATTGACATATTAACAGGCAACGGAGATCATGAAATGATATTTGAAGATGACTCAAAGATCGTATTCCACTCGCCAACTAAGAGACCGAAAATCAATGAACGGCAGTGTGATTATCTTCATCAGCTGTAAAACACGAGGAATTTACTGATTGAACACTTAATTTTGCTTTTCAGGCTCAAACAAGTTTTCCGTCTTGACAGTAGTTCGCTGAAAGAAATATTCTCAAAGTAAGTTTCTTAGCACATTTTGATGAAAAAACTCTCACCACCTTATGCGCGGAATGACAAAAAGTTTAGAATCGGAGGGAAACCTCTGAAAGAGGCATTATGTACTCGATTTTAAAATGTTTTCTGCTGAGACTTACCCTTAAAGGACGAATTGTTGAGTTGAACTAACTTTCACCTCCCGCCTCAGTTTCATCATGGTGGGGTTGCTGGGTTGTTGCTATTTGTTTTCCTCCCCCTCCCCTCCCCTCCCCTCCCCTCCCTGTTTTTGTTAGGTCATGTTCTTGGTGTTTGGTGACGTCTTGTACCGAGACACTGACCATTTCCACCTCTTCCTCTCAGTTCGCTGGCTCGCGAGTCGAACTCGAGACGATCGCGTTCCTCGCGTTAAGAAACTGCATACAGTCGAGAAACTTGCGTGGTTTTTTTTGTCTTTTTTTGTTTTTTTATTTTTGCTTTTAAATTCAGGATCGAGATGAAAGTTGTCAAAGGAATGGGGAGAGAACCGAGGGAGTGCTTTTTGCTGGAAGATGGAAGACATCTTGTCCCTAAAGGAATTTTTTTCATTAAACGTATTCAAGGTATATGATTGTCATTCTGTTCCAATCTTATTCCATCCCAGCCACCATAAAGGCCCATTTCCGCCTCGAGCTCTACATGTGTTGCAAAGTTCACTTCCGCGGCCTTAAAAATAAATTTCGATCACAACCTCCACTTCCGCCACTGAACCACAGTGCTTTTGGAAAACTCCACTTCCCCCCCCCCAAGAGTTTTTCTTCATGGAATTACTCTAGACTACAAGCAGTCCCTCCTTTTCGGCGAAGTCCGTCGCGTGAGTCAGGAAAAAAAAAATAGCGAAAAAAATTGATGTTATCGTACAGCACGAAACTCTGGGAGTGAGGGGCACGAAATGTAGGTACTGAGCCCCGCCTCCACTATTAAACACGTGTACTATTGATTTTTTTTTCCTTACAGAACCGTGGACTTATGCTCACAGCCGCTCGGCTAAGAGGTTATATTTTTACAACAAAGACACTCATGAGTCCACGTTTGAAAGTCCTAGAGATTCGGTGGCTTCTTTCAAGTAAGTGAACTTCAGTTGTGAGAGCTCTCTCCAGTTTACTAAGCGTAAATCACGTCTGGTAAGCATAGACAGCCTCCGCTATGTTTATTACGTAGAAGTCTGTTACCAATTAATTTTGGTTTTGCTTTGAAATGTGTGATTGGATAAAGGCAGACGCAACTTTTCCAACCAATCAGATGCGAAACTAAAACCGGATGTAATACTTGGTCATACTCGTTTTCCCACTTTCAGTGTAGATGACATGCGCTGGCTTTGAGTTTCTATCGGTGCATTGTAGCGAGATGCTTTAGTGACTAACTCGCACGTAGGCGGGAAGTCGCGCGAGAAAGATCGAAGGAGCTCCCTTCTCGCGCGTCCCTGCGCGAGCTTGTAGACGCGTTTGACAAGCTACTCGCGTGCGCCGCTCTGAATAAAATTGCCAGGTTATTTAGGCGCCTGTAACGCAATTGGAAATGGCTTGAAATCTTTGCTATCTTCTTTATTTTTGTTAAAAAATACACAGATCATCACTCGACACACGGTATTACTGGCCATGGGAAGATGTGGGTACAAGTCAAGATGAAGGACCAAGAGTGGAAAGAAATAACCTCATTGAATTCTTTACCGCTGCACAAAATGAATTCATCCATGGTCCACCGAAGAAGTAAAATCACCAGCTTAGAAAAGGGGTGCGATAAATCTGTTTACAAGGCTGTCTTTATCCTTCTTATCAAAGGAAAATAAGGAAAATACCTTCTAAAAGTGAGGCAGGTGACTGATCACGGGAAATTATCGTGGAGGAAAGACAGTTCAACTTGTGGACACGATTGAAGGAAAAGTAGGATCCGTTTGAGTTGGCCACTCCCCAAGGACTTGGGGAACGGCCGACTATACTCTTCTCTCACTTTTCTCAGTCAGTTGTTGCTTTGCAAACCATAGTAAGATGGAATTGGATCCCAAACAGCACAACCGGTTTGTTTTGCAAAATATGTCCCCTGCGTTACCTAGTACACTTCTAAAACAGTAATCCTCAAATTGAATGAAATTCCCAAAATGCGTTACCTTAGTATTCGTTTGTGAATTATCTTCTTAAATTCCTAGCTGAATAACGTTACCAAAATTCGTTTGCCACTTTCCCCTAAAATATGTATACTTCGGGTTTGTTTACCATCGCTAACTGAGCGTAAAGGGGGGGACTTGCCAATTAACTTCCAATGTGGTGGGGGGGATTGTAAGATCATATTGGAGAGCCTTAAGATAGGATCAACTAAATTGTATCACGACACAACCAAAATCCTCTGACCACTAACCCCCCCTCCTCTACCATCCCTAAAAACTGCTTATGTTAATGCAAGCCAATCAGATTGGAGCAAAAAATAAACAAGCAAACAAATTGCATTTGTAATTAATCATTCCTTTTATTTGTGGTTTAAAGTTTTATAACAGGTGTAACACTTCTAGGTGTCAATGCAACTTGCTCAATTAAAAGCACCAAACTTCTCTTCTCTTTCTAGAGAATCACAGGTTGTTTCTCCTCAATCAGCATTACATATATGTTTTAATAAACATGATTTTATTTACATGTCAAACCTGCCAGCTGAGGATCTGACAACTTTCAAAAATACCTATTGATTATCTGTTAATGTTTTCATCCAATTATACTTTTGTTTTAAGGCACAATAAACTGAAACTTAGCCCTTTCACTCCCAGGGGGGATCAAGAGAACTTTTTTCTTACTGTTTAAATACTTTTTTAAGCAGAAAGGCAAATAAAAAAAAAAGAAATGTCAATAACAAGATATTGGTTGATTTGACACTACATTCTCAAAGCCAAAATCAAAAGAAATGTATGGCAGATAGTAAAGAGAGTTTACTTTTAGATTGTGGGAGTAAAGAGGTTAAGATGGAACCTGCACAAAGTTAAGAAACAAGGTCTTTATGTTAATATGATGAAAAAAACAATAAAAAATATCCTATGTAGGTTTTACCCAAATAACTAAGTAACAAATATACAACATACAATATACTAAGAACTTTTTTTCAGTTATGATACAAATCTACAGCTTCACTGGTTAAAAAAAAAAGACTTATACTAGTAGCTTAAATTTAATAAATTGTCAACCAGCAATAAAATATTCTACAGCTCTCTTAAATCATACTTACAGTACAACTTTTTGTTAGTTATTGTCACAAAACTCTTCCTCTTTAGATGACCTAATGTTTTTCACTTTCCAAGGCAGTTAATTTTAAACAGGGTTACACATTTCATCTTTCATGAGACCTATACATGTATCTTTTCATTAAGCGACCATTTAACATAATCTCATGTAAATTGGGGAGGTGCAGTTGCATCATGGTAAGTGCAGTCTACTCTGGATCAAGCAATATGGCTTCAAACCCTGGCCAAGGACATTGTGTTGTGTTCGTAGGCAAGACACTTTTACTCTTACAGTGCCCTCTCCTCATCCAGGTTTTTAAATGGGTACCAGCAAATTTTATGCAGAGGGGTAACCTTGTGATGGACTAGCATCCCATCCATGGGGGAGTAGAAATACTCCTAGTTGCCTCATGCTATAGAAACCGGAGTTAAGCCCCGGCCTGATGAGCCATTTGGCTCCTAAACAGACTTAGCCTTTATCTTGTACATGCCCTCTTATATTTAAAGCAAATCTCAGGTGGAACTAATTACCAAATTGTTTCTTTTATGATTATTCTAATGCAGTATAACTCACATAAAAGAAAGACTGTCAAACTGCTCCAACATATTTCTTAACTGAAATTCCACGAAAGAAAGAACACGAATGACTCCTGTCCTTGCCAAAAAACTTTAACACTTAACAACTTTAAAGTAACTAGAGACATAAGCATTCTATCCCTTCCTCAACTTTTGGTTGTTCATTTTAAAAACAATTAAGATTAAAAACGTTTTTGCCAGTCAGCAGTTTTAGTCAGTTTGAATATGGTGCTTTCACTCAATATTATTTGTTCACAATGTCTCTTACTGTAGCTTCTTCAGTTTGCCTACTTTTCTTTCAATCCCCATTTGTTATCATGACATGATACAGAATTTAGGTTTGCTCACTCCCTTCAATTTCCTTTGTGCATTTAGAATGTTCCCAAAAATCTCTTTGCAGGGCTTTTTCTAACTGATGAACATTTTGACTACCTGTAAGTTTTGAATAATACAATCCACTTGTTGAGTACTTTCAGGTAGTTTTGTTCAACTGTTAAGTTCTACACTTTTCTTCTGTTCATTTTGCTCACCATTCTGTTGTTTGCCAAGCTCTGTTTCTTTTGGGGTCTTGGCAGGTTTTTCTGAATATTGACTTTGTTCACACTGTTCAGAATTTTCCATTTGTTTTCTCTGATCAGCCTCTTCCTGAGGATTGTTCTCTCTGCACTGTTTATCAATGTCCATTCCATCATAATCATCAGACTGACCATTTTCCACCTGTGCAGTCTGTTCACTAAGTTCTGACAGAACAGCTTCATCTCTCAGCCTCTCATTACTCCCATTGTCTTTCTCAACACTTCCTTTCAGCTGCTGTCCTTTAATTTTCTGGATACAATTGTCCAGATTCTTATTTTTATCTGCATGCATTCGAATGTGCTTCTTTAGTGTATGCTGGTGACGGTAGTTCTTTTTACACACCCAACATGTGTATGGTCTCTCTCCGGTATGAATTCGAATGTGTTGGATCACATTTTTCCTCATTGAAAAGCTCTTCTCACATTGTGGACATTTGTAGGGTTTTTCTCCTGTGTGCATTCTGTAGTGAGCCCTGAGACGTTTTTTACATCCAAATGCTTTCTCACATCGATCACAAGGAAATGGTTTTTCACCTGTGTGAGTTCTTTCATGGATTTTTAGATCAGAGTTCTGTATAAAACTTGACCCACACACCTGACATTTGAAGGGTTTTTCCTCTGAATGGGAGTTTTGATGTCTCTTCAAGCTTGACAGCCTGGAGAACACTTTATCACACTGATCGCACTTGAAAGGCTTTTCATTTTTGTGTGTTCTGATGTGACGACTGAGACTTGATGGTCCTGACAGACACTTATTACATTGAGGACATTTGAATTTATCACCATTCATGAATGTTTCTTCGGGGAGTTCCTCACTTGGGCCTGCCAAATTTGTCATGAGGTGTTCATCATTTGTAACTTCCTCTCTGCCATTAGCCTTTACTGTATTTCCTTCGACTGTTGTGCCTAGTACAGGTTCAGCACATGCAGTTGAGTGTGGATGTTCATCTGTACCACTACTTACATGAACTCCACTGTTTGCTAGTGTTAGCAACAGCAAATGGTCACTATTCAGGGTCTCTACAACAAATTTCTGAATCTTCTGTGAGGAATGAGCCTCTTCATTTCTGGAAGAGAAATGTAAGATTAAAACTTTGACATAAGACTCATCATGCAGTTGTTTACCAGCAGCCCTTTTGTGCACGAACTTGTGATTTTGCCTTATTGTTTGGCCCCGCCTGTTTTCTTAAAAACTGTTATCAGTTTACCACCAAACATCAGGATGCATATTCTCCATACAGTTCTCTATAATTTACATTTCCTAACATGCCCACAAGGAGGATGTGTTTTACAATCAAGAGCTTCTTCAACTGGTGATCCTTTCCTTGATTCTCCTGACCTTAATGTTTGATTGAGGGATGATATTATAAGGAGAAATTAGATGCTAGTCACTAATAGAGGTTAAATGGTTAATAAAGGATCTTTACAGTAATGCTGTTTCATCATTTTGATCACTATCATTTTCATTGTCATAAATATCATTATCAATAAAGATTGGAAATGCAAAGACAAGCAAAAACCAACGATAAAAACTGACGTTTCGGTGTCATGATGACACCAGAACGTCGGTTTTTATTGTTCGTTTTTGCTTGCCTTTAAATATCATTAATTTAATCAAATACCTGTCTGGGGCCTCAGTGCTCTGTTCCACCTCATTAGTTACACTCTGTGTATCCTGTATAGCATCTGATGCTTCACTCTTCTCCCCTTTGTCACTACAAACAACAACAAGTACATTGTATAACCAACCCAAAACACTTCACATGTGCTGTGCTTTACATGCATGAAATGGAAAGGGACATATGCAGCACTATTGTGAATACTGGTGGGAGATGCAGTGACCTTATGCTCAGTGTACTGGACTTCACGTTGAGAGGTCCTAGTTCAAGGTGTAGCCAGGTCAATGTGTCTTGTTCTTGGGCAAAACACTTCACTCTCACAGTGCCTCTTGCCACCCAGGAGTACAAATGTATAACAGCATATTGCCCGGGATGCTTTATGAAATGCTAGGGGGTAGCCTTGCAATAGACCAGCATCCCATCAATTGGGGGTGGGGTGAGACCAGGGTGAGCACCAGCTGAGTGGGGGGCAGTAGGCTCCAATACAGACTTTATTGAATATGCTAAATCAAAGTTACATGGAGAAATTTAAAAAAAAAAAAGCATGGTGAATTCTTGTGGTACAGTTGAATACATAAAATTGAGTACTTACCTGTTTACAGCAGGTACACCGTCAGACTTTTTGACAACTTTCTTCCTGTTTGAAAGAATTACATCATTTCAATATAGCTGTATATGGGACATGTATTGATTTAACTTTCATATTTCTGTGCTTTCCAGTTACACATATTCCAGGTGTGAGATTTATCTACCTGTGGATAATTACCATAAAGGGCATATGGTGGAAATGGATTGCTCCAACCTTTTAGGAGCACAGCTCTGCTTACAATGGCTACCTTAAAAAATTTCACTACTTCCTTGCAAAAAGAAAATTCTACAAATTCCCAGGTTTAAACCTCACAATTCTTCTGTCTGTTACACATGCACATGACAGAGAAGATACGGTAAGTTCCATTTTCAACTAATATGTTTATCTTTCTGGTCATCTGTTTGCTATGCGATGAGTTTGCGTAATGGTAAGATATCACATGTAAATCACCGCTGTTCCAAGCTCAAAGTTTTTCAAAGTGGCCACTTAGCCACCAAAAATTTCAATACAGTGGCCGAAAAAAAATTTTTTCAACCAAGGCTAGCAATGATTGCTGAAAATATAGAAACCATAATTTATTCTAGAGCCAGCCAGAATGGTTGCAGCTTGGAGTGCTGACTTCTGGGAATTCAAGGTTGGACCCCAAACTTTTCTTTTCATTACCTGAATACACTGGGGTTCTTTGGCACTGACTTGGTTCCTTTTTTCTTTCTAGGCCATGCTACATCTGACTGTCCATCTCCCCCTTCATCACTAAACCAAAAATAAACAAACATGAAATGAGAGCCATCAAATCAATCATTTCATACAGTGTACATCAGTATATCTGTTGTGGTTCAGTTCTGTCTTGGTCCAAATTTAAATTTGTGAATGTGAGGTTTTGTCATGGATTACAATAACTTAAGTTAACATGAGGGCCAGAGATTGTCCAGAGTGATTTTATGTTTCAGAAATAAACACATTCCTTGAGTGTCTCTTTGAACCCAAGTGAGGCATAACTGCCGCAGCTTATCCTGTGCTCCACAATATAAAGAGCAGGGTTCTTGCACATTTTGAGGACCCAATTCAAGGACTTTTTAGGTCATTTTCAAGGAACTTGGCTCTCAAATTCACAGGTCTTTTGCATTAGATAGGAGCTAATAGAAATAAAAAACACTGCGCTTCATGGTTAAAAGTAACAGATAGAAGCACACTCATGTCTTTATAAAGTACAAAATATATATAAATCATGCGTCAAACATCATAATTGGTCACAGGATTTGAAAGGAAAACTCATTTTCACAATTTGTGCTAGAAACTTACACTTTCAACACCAGATACAACAGAAAACCTTGACTTTGATTCATCTGCACTTATTTTCAAGGGCTTTTCAGAAATTTTCAAGGACCTGAGTCTAAATTCACACATTTACACCCTTAGGATGGAATGCTAGTCTATGGCAGTTGACTCCCTAGCATTTTATCATGTTACTCTTTACAATTCAGTGATACACATTTCTACCCTTGGGTAAAGAGAGGCACTGTAAGAGGAAAGCATCTTGCATAGGGACAAAACACAGGGACCTGGGCAGTGCTTGGACCTGTAACTCACAGTCTATAATTCAGTGTATTAAACACCAGGGCCCAGTTGTATAAAGGGCAGATAAAGCCATTCAGAGGGAGGGCTCGAATTTAATTTTTGGATCACTAACCCTTCGGGTTAGTAGACATCTTTTTTACTAACCGAGTTATCAAGTTTGGTATCCAAGCTCACAAGTTACGATATCTCAAATATTAAACATTTTGATAATAACATCTACAACAAATAAAAGGAAAGCTGAAATTACATGGTAACCTTAAAAATGCTGACAATTATGCACCTATTTTATTTCGTTCTCGTTTACCATGATTAGTCAAGAACAGTACACCTACAGCACATTCTCTAAAAAGAGTTCAAGTTGATTAAACAACTTGAGTATTCTAAGTATTCCTCTGAGAGGCGGGTCTACGTGCTCTTTGTCCTGAGGTCTACCAATGTTTAAATATGTTAGAAAATTTTACTAACCATGTCGGGTTAGTTGGACACATTTTTAGTAACCAAAGGTCGAAAATTACTAACCATTGGTTAATGGGTTACCATTAATTTCAAGCCCAGGGCCCAGTTGTTCAAAGGTCGATTAGCACTAACCCAGGGTTAAATTTTAATCTAGGTTTCTAAATTTCTCTGATCAAAAGCCGTTTTGGGATAGTTTTTCTAATTCTTTCTAGGACATTCAATCATCAAATTGTAGACAAGTGGAATTAAACTGAATTTTCTTTTAGAGCTTTCGGATCTGAAATCAAATTTCACACTAACACTGGGTTATCTTAATCCAGCTTTGAACAACCCAGCCCTGGAGGATAAGTGACTGCAAAACGTACTGCACTATCCACTGGACAGATTATCTGGTGGATAGCATAATCCAACCTTCAAACAACCAGTGCCAGGTCACCACAACTCCCTCCCTTTCTTTACAATGAACAGGAAATTTCAGTTGAGAGATGAAATTTGATGTATAGACAAAATATAATAACATATATATGGCACAGTTCGTGAAGTTCGATTAATTCAATAACCAGAATGCTCAGCTGATAGAAGTGCTATAGTAGAACTTAAGGATGCATGGAAAAAAGCTTACCTTAATTTTGTAAAATTTGGTCTCACTGTGTGAAGTTGCAAATGCTTTTTGAGTGTGTGTTGGTGACGAAAGTTTTTCTTACACACTTCACAAGTGTAGGGTCTCTCTCCAGTATGAATCCGAATATGTTGAATCACATTTTTCCTCATTGAAAAGCTCTTCTCACACTGTGGACATTTGTAGGGTTTTTCTCCTGTGTGCATCCTGTAGTGAGCCCTGAGCCGTTTCTTGCATCCAAATGCTTTCTCGCATCGATCACACGAAAATGGTTTTTCACCTGTGTGAGTTCTTTCATGGATTTTCAGATCAGAGTTCTGGATAAAACTTGATCCGCATACTTGACACTTAAAAGGTTTCTCTGCAGCATGGGAGTTTTGATGTCTCTTCAAGCTTGACAATCTGGAGAAAACTTTATCACACTCATCACATTTAAATGGCTTTATGTTGCTGTGGGTTTTAATGTGTCGGCTTAGACTGGAAGCTCCTGAGAACGTCTTGTCACACTGTACACATTTGAACTGCTTGTTGCCCGCAGTGTTAACTTCATATGAGTTACTTCCTTCAGCAGTTTCAGCCAATGAAGTACTATCATCTGGAACAAGTATTCCAGCTTCTTCTGCTATCATCACAGTTTCCACTTCAACAGCAGTGGAAACATTCTCAGATTCACTGCTACTCTTGTCAATACCACTCTCAGGATTGGACGACAATATTAGGAGCTCCAAATGTTCAGCATTAACAGTATCCATAGGTGTCAGTTGAAACTTCTGTAAATCTAGGAGCACTCCATTCCTAACAGATAAAAAAGTCCACAGGTTGATGTATCTCAGAGAATGTAAATGAAAATTGGAACACAAATTTTAATCCAAGTTGTACATTAATTAACATCTAATTCTTCTAACCCTAGCCCTAGCACCTTATACTTCACCAAGGATTCTTTTAAGAAGATGACTGAAGTTTCTTTCTTATTATATCTCTCAGTTAGCATGTGCACTATGATTGGTCAATTTAGCAGGCAGCCCATTGCATTCAAAATTTTGTTTGAATTGAAATCCTCCCTCTCCATTTAACCCTTTGCCACCTAATATCACTATAGATATTCTCCATACTGTTCTCTATACATTTCCTAAGATGCTGACAAGGAGAATTTGTTTATCAATCAGGAGCTTCCTTAGATGCTGATGATTTCCTTTATTCTCCTGACCTTAATGTTTGATTCAGGGGTGATGTTGTAAGGAGAAATTAGATGCCAGTCACTCGGAGAGGTCAAAGGGTTCAACCAAGGTATAATTATAATAAATATCTTACTGACACGGATTTCTCAAGTCTGTACTGTAAATTATGGAACCTCACAGTCACTTTTTTTCACTTGCAGTTATGGCCTGAGAACAAAACTTAAAGTATGGACTGAGATTTTAGTTAGCAATGGGTATTTCTATTCTATGTCTAAAATCTATGATGGCAATCAAGTTAATTTTCAATGGAAAATACACTAACTAAATAACATTTCTTTATTTCTGCATTGTTGTCACTACATAAGTGATAAAATACTTGTTGAGTTGTAATTTTATTTTCACTTTATAGCACAATAAAGACGTATTTATCAAGTACTGAGCGTTAACTATTTCTCTTTGTAGATGCAACAATGTAATAACTTTAATTTATCACTGTGTGTCAATGTTAGTACTTTAACGCTTGCGGAAAAAAACTCCCAAGGTAATAAAAACTCTAGGAAGACTTAAATTACATTCACGTGAACAAAAATCCAGACATCTGCAGACTATTCTACCATGGGTAGATAATTTGGGAACTTAGGATTCTACTTCAGCTGACGGTATAAAATCGATGAATGATTACATATATATTCTGCACAACTTTGTGTATTTTCATTATCTTCCTATCCTGGAGCAGAAACACTCTCAAGTAAACTAACAGTTGCTGTCTAGAAACAAAAGACAGCGAGCCTTGGCTAGCAAAATGTAATTTAATCTCGTGATCTCAGTGAAAGATATGAGAAATTCAACAACACTACGACAAACTTCGTACTTTTACTCTCATTTCCCCAACAAACAGAACCGATTTCAACCCTGTTGATAAGATAAATAGATTCTCTAGCTTTCAATAAATAGTAAGAAATAATTCCTTGAGTGAAAAGGAACAAAACTTACCCACTTTGAGATAACCCGCCCAGTTCGCTTGCCGCCATTTTCCTTTCACACAATTTTTCTATCCCAGAGTTCTTTTCGGTGTAGTTCACCCGCTTTACGCGCTCTCACGAGGGAACACGCCCGTCCCACGTTCCACGAGCCCTTGTCACTCAGCTGTTATCAGGAGTGAATCGAAGGGGTAAGTTTCCAAAGAAACTGTGGTGCTGTTGCCGGGAGGCTTGGTTACTAAACTGAGCCTGGTTTCTAATTTAAACAAAAAGTTAAACGATTTACTAACTCCCGGAAGTTCTCTTGCGATTTCACGAATAATTTCGACTGCACTGGAAGATGGATTTTTTCAACACAGCAGACTTTAATCTGGAAAAGTATTTAAAAGAATCGTATGGTTCAGTGGATGTCTTAATCGATCGAGCCAAGAAGGGAGAATTATTTTCCCAAATTGAACTTGGTATCGCTTATGGTGAAGGTGTACAAGGATTCGTAGAGAAAGACACCGAGAAAGCTATTGGCTGGCTAGACACAGCTGTCACAAATGGCTGCATTTTTCCCTCGGTAATACAAAGACTTGGTCAATTACTAGATGAAACAGCAGAGCCACGCAACCAGCGAAAGGCGTATGATTTGTATCACAAGGCAGCCCTTCTTGGTAGTACACCTGCACAGCTTAATTTAGCTGAAATGTATCGATGTGGATTGGAAGGAGTAGTAAACGAAGACATCAAAGAAGCGTTTGAATGGTACAAAAAAGCTGCAGGGGAAAGTACAGTCGAATATAGCTCAGAGACGGGAGGTATAGGTCTTCTTCTTGCCGGAACAGTGAACAGAATAGAGAATGCTTTTAGTAATTCTCGACAAACTGCCTTGTCATCTTTGTTCAAGCATTATCTTGAAGGTAACTGCCCAGAAGGGAGACCGCAGCCAACGAAAGCTGTCTATTATCTTACCAAAGCAGCTGAACTGGGTGATACAAAAGCACAAAGGGAACTTGGGGAAATATGTTTGACCGGAAGTTGTGAGCAAATCAAGGATTTGAAGAAAGCAAGGCGTTGGCTAGAGAAAGCTTCTTCTTCTGGTGATGTCAGGGCAAATCAGGTAAGGGTTTCTGTCGAATTTAACCAATTCAAACGTTATTTAATTTCCCTTTGCTTTGTTTGTATTTTTTTTTTCTGTCCTTATTTTGGTTAATGGCATACGAAAAATTTTAAGATGGTTGGTATGGATTTAGTTGTAAAGAACCTTTAGGGTGCAGGGTAACTAAGGGTTGGAATATTATCGCTCTATAATTGACGTTCTTTTTCTCTACAAAATTTCTGGTGATGGTCGGTGCAATTCTTCCTTACTTGCATTCCTCAAGTGACTCTCCTTCAACACTGGAATCAGGGAATACATTTGCAAAGCCTGGATCGAAGATTATTAAGCAAATGCAGACTGTTTTTTTTTTTTTTCTAATGGACCATAGTGTGAATAGTCCATTTTACAGTTGTGTGCTTGGTTGCCAAGCCTTTGAATGGGAGTGAGGCTAGGGGTGACCTTGTTATGATACAAACTTGCTGCCTTTCAAATGTAAATCACTTTGTTATCATGCTAAGTAGATACAGGTCTCTATCACAACAAGGTCACCTTCAGCCTCACTCTGAATCAAAGGCTTGGCAACTAAGTACACAACTGTAAAATGGCCTATTTCCCACCCCTTGTATTAATGGCACAGAATTATTATTTTAACAGGATCAGTTTACTAGGACACTCATCAGTAAGATTGTTCAAATAGACATTTTAAGTCACTTCTTTTTCAATTCAAGCCTACATGATTGTAAACAGTCATTGGTCACTTACAGTTACTTTCTAATTCTGTAGTTTTGTTAAATTAAACGTAGGTATAGGAATGTTTTGTTCATAGAGGGAAGAATTAGTAATCAAATATATAGATTATAGGAGTTATTAGAGAGGGAGTAGCATTCAATTTAAATTGATCCTCACCAGAAGTTTATAATAAAAAAAGAAAAAAGAAACAAACATTTTAAAATGAATATAACTGCTTTAGTATGATTGTCTAATACCCAATTGTTTCTGTTCAATTACATGTATTACCTTTTTGTTACCTTCTCAGCTTCTCCAGCAGTGTGGAAAGGATGAGGATGTACTGCATGATGCTCCTGATATTAGTGAAGAAGCCATTGAGCAATGTCATGCCATTCAGGAGGAGAAATGTAAGGAAAGAGCTGATGCAAATAGGCATCCATTTGCAATTTATAAACCTGTTGCTTTTTCGGAGGAAATGCTGCAGAAGTATCTTTGGTCCCCAACAGCAAGAACTTACCTTCATGCCTACAAATTGGTAAAAGAAGGCCTTGAAATCTTGTGCAAGAGTGATTTCACAGATGAAAAAGGAATTACCCTTATTGCTCATGGATACCTGACAGAATTTTCTGTACTGCAAGCATTCCCACATATGCAAAATGATTTATTGCCTAATATAATTCAACTTTGTGAAAAAACTTTGATAAAAAATCCTTGCTTTTTTGAGGGACTTCTTTTGACAATTGCCTTGCATGGTCTTAAGTTGGGGGAAAGTTTTGAGAAAATTACCCAAGACAACAGAAGAATAAAGATGTCCATAGTTAATTTAATAAATTTGATAAAAAAAGCAGAACCCAACAGCCTTCCCTCTGAAGATCAGTATGAGTTTGACAAAAGCTATAGTAGCTGGCTTCATGTTTTGTATAACTACTTGGCAGCAATATACTGCGTTGATGGTCTGCATGAGTTTTCAGCTGAATTTTTTACAACTTCCCTTGAGTGCTGCCCATCTAACTTTGAGGCAAAAAGAGGAATTGGATTTTCCTTAATGCAGCTTTACATTTCTAAAAATTCCTCTGAAAAACTGGAATTCAGCTCATTAAATATCAAGATACAGTCGGTCTCTTTTCCAAGAGTATTAACATGGACAAAGGAGGAACTGAGGAAAAATGCAGTCAAGATGCTGAAGGAATATCTAGAAGAAGCCCCTTCTTGTTCAAGATGGTATCCCAATGTTTGTTACTATCTTGCAAATATTGCCTCTCAGTCATTGGAAAAAAATTTGCAAGAATTCAGAATGTATTTTGAAATGGGCCAGAATGCTGAGGAAAATAGACTACCCTTCTTCCAACCAGTTGATCTACCAATTAAAGATTCAATGATTCCACTCTACCAGCTATTTGCCAATGTACAGCCACCTGCACACTGTGGAAACAAGGTTTGTACAGAAGAAGTTAAGCAGACTGAATTAAAATTCTGTGGCAAGTGTAGAAAGATAAGGTATTGCAGCAGGTAAGTAGAGAACTACAATCATATTTTCAAGTGAACTTTGAAACAAATTACTTTAGACATAAAACAATAACCTTTAAGATTTATTTAACTGTAAACAACTTCCCTTAATATACATTTCACTATCTCATGCATGCATTGCAATAAGTAAGGCAGGAGATTATTGTTTGACCCTCGGTGACAACCGTGATACTGTAAATACCTCTGGTGCAGTGTTCAAGTCAGGGTGAATGGAATCTCTCTCCTTGACTTTAGATCCATTTTTGTTTTTCATTTAAAACCTAGTAATCTTAAATTTTTTAAGAGACTGTAAGATGTGATCAATATGACTAGCATATTATGACCTTTCTGAAAGGGATGAGTTTTTCCAAGATGGCAGAATGTTATTAAGGTTTTTTTAAGTTTAGAGTTTCCCAGGCAAAGAAACTGATATGACCTTATGCAATCATTTTTAACAACTCTGGATGTTTTTTTTTTCTTTTGAGGTATCTGTGTCTGCATTTTGACAAATCATAATATCTGTATAACTTATTGAGAGCAGAGAGAGATCTCATATCAATGCTCAACAAAAAGTCCAGAGTTATGAATTAAGTCCCGTTCTACACAGTGCAATTAGTAAACTCTTCAGATAGATGAAGAGAACCCAAAAGTCCTAGATAGTTAAGGCATAAACAATGGAATATTTCTCAACCTTCTCAATCTCAAATTTATGAGTGCATATGGCTATGTATAAATTGTTTATCTTCTTTACCTCAATGTCTTACCACCAACAAAGAAAAAATAGTGTAGTATACCAAATGTATGAATAAAATGAAATTATATATGGAAAATGCTTCTGCTTTTTACACTGTAGAGCCTGTCAAAGAGCTGACTGGAAGAATCACAAAGCTGAATGTACTACAGCCAAAGAACCCAAGTCAAAGAATGAACTTGATGAACTTGATTAATGGAGGTTGATGGTGGTCTATGAAAAATTGTCTAAAAAGTATGTAAGACCTTCCTAGGAAAAAGTGAATTGCAGGGGTGTTATTTTAACTGAAGTTTTGAAGTGGCAACCTCAAGTTCAGGTTACATTGGAAGTCAGCTACCTAGCCAAGTCGTCCAATTGGCCACTTTTTATTCACCCGGTTTTCATAGCATGAAGCAATTTGGAGTATTAATTGTTATTCCCACTGGATAGTAAGCTAGTTCATTTTAGGTTACACCTAGCATGAGGCACTCCAGACAGTAAAACCATACCCATTTCTACTGGTTGGAGAGATGAACCGTGAGGGTTAAGCTTCTCGCCTGAAAACAAAGCACATGTTGATAACTTACAAAGTT